GGCCGAGCGGGCTCAGAGTTACAAACTCTATTGTGACGCACTTACTACGACGGACGGCCCTTGCCAAACCTCCCCAGACTTGCTGCCCTCAGCACTTTCGGCAGAACAATGGGGCGGGAGCGGGGAACGCGGCCAGCCGCCTGCAGTCGCTGCCTTTGCGCGCCCTCCGATGCCCCACGCGCAGGGTCTAGTCCTGGGAACCAAGGAATCAGAGTCCCCTGGGGGTTCTGGCTTAGTCCAGTGGGCGCTGAGCGGAGCCCTGTGAATAGGCTTCAGACAGGCTGCCTCTCTCTAAACTTGTGTCTGCGTTCCAGCCCCAGCCCCACAAGTCATTGATGTCACTGTGTTTTGTTTGGTGGCAGGAAGTTTATAGTCCCCCCCCTCAACACAAATAATAATACCTTTGTTATATTATGGGTGTTTTTATTCTTATTTGGAAGATTGTCAGAGAAATAGGCAAAGTAACGACTTACTGTTGAAGTGTTTGGTATTAACTTTTTAATGAGTAGATGAAAATTAGCTAATTCAGTTATTCGTTGTGATTATTTTTTTGCGTAAGCTAATCTTGACTTTCATTTTGCTTGCAGAAAAAAAGACCAAATGGCAAAGCAACCTTCTGATGTAAGTTCTGCGTGTGACAGAGAAGGTGGACAATTACAGCCCACGGAGAGGCCTCCTCAGCTCAGGCCTGGGGCCCCCACCTCTGTACAGATAGTGCCACAAGGTAATCCTGAAGGCGACGGTGACCGCTGCCCTCACGGCAGCCCTCAGGGCCCGCTGGCCCCACCGGCCAGCCCTGGGCCTTTTGCTACCAGATCCCCGCTTTTCATCTTTGTGAGAAGATCCTCCCTGCTGTCTCGATCCTCCAGTGGGTATTTCTCTTTTGACACAGACAGGAGCCCGGCACCCGGGAGTTGCGACAAATCAACACAAACCCCAAGTCCTCCTTGCCAGGCCTTCAACCATTATCTCAATGCAATGGGTAAGCAGATCCGGGTACGGGGCAGTGGACTTGTGGCTGATTGAATATCTACTGAGAGGCAGCATGCGGCATTTATAGCCCCTTTTAGAATCCTTTTACTGATTTATCCCACATTTTGATGGGAATGGAGGGATGTGTCAAATAAAACACCAAATCAACATTAAAAAAAAAATACCACCAAGTTTTGTGACCGCAGCAAGTTGAGGTCCAAGCATCAGCTTATTGGGCAGCAGAGCTGGAGTTCCTGCTGTTGTCATTAAGTGTGTGACCTGGCCAGCTCTCTCTACTGAGGTTTACTTATTAATGACATTCTGTTTAGAAGGGACTCCGTCAGTTGCAGCAGCTAACTTAACATAACCAAAAGTGGGAAGTGATGAGACAAGCTATCATTTTCCAAACTGACATATAGCCAGTGCCAACGTAGAACTATGAACATGGTGTGTTTTCTACTCAGGCTCTTCTCTGGGCTTATTTTGTTTGTTCAGAGAGTTTTAACATAATCCTAATGAGATTAGATTGTGGGTTTTTATTTCAGGGATGAAAGGCAGTTTTAGGGTCTGAACCAAGAGTTGCAAACATCAGTGCTCAGGAACACCCGACAGTACTGTCAGCGAGGAAGCCAGCCTGGTGGGATTAGGATAAACTGGAGATCCTTTGCCCCCAGTTGTGGCCCTGAGGGGATGTGGCCTCAGTGGTCAGTTTTCCTATATTGCAAGATAACCCAAGAATGCAGATTTTGATGCCAAATGTCCTGATGTTTAAACATTGGCAACTAATTTAGAACTTTCAAAGCACTGTACAAGCCAGATAGAAACATCTGCAGGCTTGATTAAACCCTTGACCCTTGGCATGTGACTTTGAGTGTGGGCCTTAAGGAAGTGATTGTGTGGGTTCAAATCGCTATTCCCCACTGGTGGGAAAGGCTCGTGTCTTCATCAGGATTCAGCTGGTTCTCGTTTTCCTCTGCTGCAGATTAGCCCTTCCTGCTTTAACCAGATATGAGCAAGTTGGCAGCATTATCAGTTAAGAAATTCAGTACTGGTTCTGTTAAAACATAAGTGACACAGAGTCAACAGAGGAGATGCTTAACTGCTGGAACGCTGACAAATCTTGCATTTGCAGATTCTCTATGACTTGGTTCATAACCTTCAATGAGGTGAGAACTGTGCCAGTCTGTCCCCACATCACAGAGAAAGAACCTTAGAGGGTTGGTCATGTGTCAGGTTGTACATACCCGGGACATGGCAGGCACAAATGACAAAAACATCAGCAGTTGCATTTGGCTGTGTGTCTCGTACTAAATGCTGAGCCGTACAGTCGACCCTCCATGTCTACAGGTTTCACATCTAAAGAGGAGTCACCAACTGCAGGTGGAAAATACTTGGTGCGGGGAGCAAAACCTAGAAGGTTCCAAAAAGAAAAACTTGAATTTGCCATGCACATGCCATACATTGCTCTGAATCCATGTGCATGAAGTGATATGCAGGCACACCCTGCTGTCACCTGTGTGCAAATACTGGTTATGTGCAATTTTATATAAGGGACTGGAGCATCCATGGGTTTTGGTATATACAGGAGCCCTGGAACCAGTCCCACAGGGTACCAAGCGACGACTGCACTTTATTAGGACCCGTCCTCAGGGAGAGGAGCCGGAAATTTTATTACTGCTGTTTCTTTCATTATAGCTATTGATACAGCTCCTGAACTCATTTTAGCCTTAGAAGTTCTTGGTGCTTGCAGATGTGTTTCTGCCCATGAAAATAATCCTGTGTAGGTGAACCCACAGCATTCTTGCTCTCTCAAATGAGTCCACAGGGCTTAATGGTGTGTGTGTTTAACAACCTACATGTTAAAGGAGCCTTCAGAAGCTGTTAGTTTTTCACAACAGACCAAACCAATCTCTGTAGGGGGTGGCTTAATGCACAGAAATAGTTTCTTCTCCGTTAACCAGGTTTGGGTAAGTTAGTGTACTTTTTCACGTGAGGATGGCGTGATTGCTTTTTTGGTAACACATTGTTTAGCGAGCTAATTATAAGGTATAAGCAGTGCTGCTTGAGATGACAGATGGAGAACTTTAGCGATCACAATCTCAATTATTAAGCAGACTTATGGTTATACCTGTGAAGTATGGTAATGGACCCTGAGGTGTAATTTTATATGTTATTAGCTATGTTTCAGCAGATCTGCGTGGTCACTGAATGCATAGGATCAAATGCTCACTTCTAGGGTGCGTCTGAAGTGAATGTACCAAGGAAAGTTTTCAGAATCAGCCCTTGGGAGATTATTCGAGGAGGGGCTGAGCCGAGGTGGGGGACCTGGGGGCTGGTGGGAGAAGAGGGTCGTCAGGTGTGTACGTGTTAGATGGAACAGCATTTACCGTCTTTGTGGTCCGTAACGTTTTCTTCTTGGATGTTTGTACCATAGTTTGGTTCCCAAAGGCCACCGCCATGTGCTGAGTCGGTAGATTTGGTTCGCTCCTCTTTGGCCCTGTTCAGCATCCCTTACTCAACCACATCCATTAAGATTGTCAATGACACTTTTGATAATTTATTGCAAAATGCAATTTTCACAAAGAAGTCCTTGTGATCGTTTTCCACCAGTGGAGCATGAATGTGAGGTTATGAAGGGGTGCTCCTTAGCCAGGGGCGCCCGTGTCCACAGACAGTCTCTGCTCAGGGACTTGGGGTGGGGAACAGTGTCGCTGGTGCTGTTCCTGCATGTTGTTCCACTGAGAAAGTGCCTTCTGTGTGGGTGGGATGCACAGCAGCCAGAAACGCCCTGGTGCTTTCCTTCACATCTCTGAGTTTTCTGACGATACGTTCAAAGAATCTCTGAGAGCGATCCTCATGTTTTCACTTGACCACGTTTTAGTCTCCTTTCACCCCGGGAGGAAGAAGTCCCAGATGCTCTCTTAGACAAGAGCTGATGATTTTAATCAAAACGGCTGACTCGCGTTGGTGGCTGAGTGCCTTTTCTGGTGAGCACGCTTTCACCAGATGTGTTTTCATACGAATCACGCTCTGAATGCTGTACAAAGTCACCCTTTGAAGGTGTAGTCGGTGCTGTTGCAAGTACGGGTTGAGAAAGGTCACGATAGGGGTGAATGCTAGTAATTCACTCCCACGTGTCATTTCGGTTAAATGACTGAAAATTTATACTGTCCCTGGCACATCAGAATTCACTGTAGGAGTTGTGTTCTGTGTCCTTCAGGGTCCTGCATGCTCCCCTCATGGCTGATCTTTTCATTTGTGAGCTCTGAGAGAAGGGAGGCTTGATGTTCGGCAAATCCCGAGGGCCTGACAGAGAGGAAGAGGCTTAGGAGGTGTTCAGAGGACTTCAAGATTAGCCTACTAGCCTTTCCAAAGAGCTGAGAACAGATAACATGTCCAAAAACGTCTGGTAGCAAGAAAAAGATCCTACCCCCCCTCCAGATATTTTTAGTTACTTGGATCTAGCTATCGGGTTTGTCACATAGCAGTGACAGGTAAGGTCCAGCTCAGCACAGGCTTCACAGGGAAGCCACAGGTGGGCACTGAGCCTTCAGGTGGGACTCTTCCAGATTAGATGTGCTGTCATGTCGGTTCCCATGGGAATTTCAGGCTTAGTACATGAGCAGGAGGGCAAAATATCCCAGTCATTTTCATGATAATTCTATGCTGAGATACTTTGAGTACAGTGGGTAAAATTAAAAATATTTTTTATTGGGGTAAAAAACTCATTAACATACAATTTATCATCTTAACTCTTCCTAAGGGTACAGTTCAGTAGCGTTAAAAGTATATTCACGATATTGTACAACCAAGTCCCAGAACTTTTTCACCTTGTAAAACTGAAACTATGCCCACTGAACAACTTCCCATTTCCCACTCCTCTCAGCTCTTGGCAACCTGCATTTTATCTGTGTCTGTGATTTTGACTCTGCTTGGTTCCTCTTATAAGTGGAATCCTACGGCATTTGTTCTTTTGTAAGTGGTTGGTTTTTGTCAGCATAATGTCCTCAAGGTTTATCCATTTGGTAGCCTGTGTCAGTTTCCTTTTTTAAGGTTGAATTGTATGTGTAGACCACATTTTTTTACCCACACTTTCTTTACGCATTCATCAGTCAGTGGACATTTGGGTTGCTTCCATCTCTTGGCTCTCGTGAATCATGCATCATGAGCATAGGTGTACAAGTATCTCTGAGATCCTGCTTTCATTGCTTTTGGGTACATACCCAGTGGGATTGCTAGATCATATGGTAGTTCTGTTTTTGGTTTTTTTGAGGAATGTGGCCGCACTATTTTACATTCCCACCGACAATGCACAAGGGTTCCAGTTTCTCCACATCCTCATCAATGTTGGTTTTTTGGTGTGTGTGTTTTTTGACAGTAGCCATCCTAATGAGCGTGAGGTGGTATCTCATTATGGCTTTGATTTATGTTTCCGTAACGGTTAGTGACGTTGAGTATCTTCTCATGTGTGTGTTGGCCATTAAGTAAAATGTATTTTTGCTATTAATCCTACCTGTTTCTTTTTACTTTTTTAAGCACGGCTACTAGCAGAATGTCAGATGAGACCCGTGGCTGGCATTGTGTGCAGGGTGGCTGGGCGGGCCCTCAGACGGAGGAGCCAGCCTGTGCGCAGGGGCCTTACCAGCCGGACCTGGTTCTTCCCACTCGCATCACATCATCTCCATGAACTTCCTCCCCTGGTTGCTTTTGTTGACTTAGGAGAGTGAAAGTAATTACCCTCACTTTGTACGCACCTTAAACACTCACGAGCTTTGTAGGTAGCTGTGTTCTCCAGGAAAATATGATTAAGCATTTCATTTTACCCCTTTCAACTCCTGCTACATGCAGGCTTTGAGAAAGCAGAAGGTGGGGTGGGGTGGCTCCTCGGGCCCCAGAGCCTGGTGCAGTCTTTGTTGAAGACTCAGTTCCTGCCTTCGCTAGTGTGGACACTTTCTAGTCCTGAGGAGGGATAGAAAGTGACAAAAGAAAAAAAGAAATTTTCTCTACTGG